TGCATGTGTGGTGTACAGATGTGATGGCTATGTTCCCTGCATGCTTGTGTGGTGTACAGATGTGATCCTGGCTTTGGTGGCAGCACATGCACGCCTACTGCACAGCTACGAACCGAATTGAAAGAAGCTTTCGACTCTGGATTTGATGCCAAGAAGTGGCTCTACTGGTCCGGAAACTCGTCCATCAGCAGTGGACGCTGTGGCCCACTGCAAGGTAGAGACTTTCACGTGTCTCTGTGTGTGTACGTGTTGTGTGCGTGTGTGTGTGTGTGTGTGTGTGCGCGCGCACGCGTGTGTATATGTGTGTATGTGTGTGTGTGTGTGTGTGTGTGCGTGTATGTGTGTGCATGTGTATGTGTGAGTGTGTGTGTATATGTGTGTGAGTGCGCGTACGTGCGTGTGTGTGCATGTATGTGCGTGTGCGTGCATGCGTGTGTGTTTGGGGGGGGGGGGGTTTGGAGTGTCTGGGTGTGGGTGGACGTGTGCAGGTGCAGGAGTGTGGGCGTGGCATTTGGTTGCCAGCTAGTTTGCGAAAATATTACACCACCGAAAATGTCTGCTTTTACAGTAGAGGCGACGGCTTCAAATAGGATACAGGTTGCAAACCGGAACGGACTCAATATTCACTTTCTCTCTTGGTATTTTGATTAGAAAACATATGTCATAGTGAGACTACGATGTGTTATACTCCGAGCCAACATTTCATGGCTCTGCGATGACCAGAAGCGCCATACCAAGCAGGTGAGTTTTGACGTGTTGCTTCGCACTGCGACTTGAGTTTTACGTCTTTCGAAAAATCAACTTCTTGTCGCAGGTATACAGCGGCTCGCCTCTCGCCAATAAAGCACCTTATATCAATCAAAACTAATGGAAGCAAACACAAGGCTTATTGTTACTCTGTACTGGCCGTCGTGGAGCGATAGCAATTGCCTAATTTCAGACTAATAGAGTGATTTTGACGTGCACTCTAAAACCTGTCCGGTTTGGAGCCACCTCTGATTTGAAGCGAAAAATTGGGTAACTTGGAGGCAATGGGCCAACACAAAGGAGTGGCTCAGTTCGATTGACTCTGGCCTCAGAGCAAACTTCAACATGCCAGTTTCCTTCAACGAACATATTTCGAGTGAACAATCCATGCTGATGATCGGCTTGGGTCTATACTAATTTGGCTGTTAAGCCGTTCCGGTATCGAACCGTCTCGTCTACACCGGCGGCTTCTAGTTTTCTTGCTAGTATTGATGAGGGTTCTGTTCAAGAGGGTCTTCTACTGTCGCGGACATGGAAATCCGGTCAAATGACTCGGGGCCGGCGTCCTCAGTGCGTACAGAACGTTGCATGTGTGTACCGTACGCGTGTACTCACGGCTGTATGGCCAGCGCCCTGGGGCTGTATGGCCAGCGCCCTGGGGCTGTATGGCCAGCGCCCTGGGGCTGTATGGCCAGCGCCCTGGGGCTGTATGGCCAGCGCCCTGGGGCTGTATGGCCAGCGCCCTGGGGCTGTATGGCCAGCGCCCTGAGGCTGTATGGCCAGCGCCCTGGGGCCGCTTGACCTCCGACCGGATTTCCATGTACACAACAGTAATATGTTGCAAGAGTTGATAAACGAGAGTGTGCAACTCGCGGATGGCTTGGCCCACGGCGGAATTTTTCGTTGACATAATCTTTTCTACGACGCACGCGCTTCGAGTCTTTTGGAAAGCTTTGCCTCGTGCACTTGGCCGGGCTTTACATTACAAGGCCGGTGGCCAGCACATGCTCTCACACTGCTCTGAGCCAAAATGCGTGTTTTTCTGAAAAAAGGTGACTGGAACGAAAAATTCCGGCGTGGGCCGGGGTGTCTGCAGATTGTGTAGGAGAGATGCGGAGTTGCACACTCTTGTCTATCTACTCTTCATTGGGGCTAATATTCAAGAGGGACCGTTATTTTAGATGAGCTATTAATCGAGTGATTACAATATACCAGATCCAATCTGACTTATCAGCCCGCTCTAGTGACAAGCATCAGCTTCAGTGGGAGCCAGGTTAAATGCAATGGAATACAAGGACTGATACCTTGATGCCGTCAACACTTTTCTTTCACTTTATGCTCACCCACTTTATACCGCGATGAGCCCATGAGTGGGATCCTTTCCAAGTCCACCCAGAGTTTGCCGAGCTCAGTGTCAGGCTTTGGGAGGTTCAGTAGCCAATTGAGTCATCTTTCCAGCTTTCCCTTTGATTCTCTTTCCCCTCTCCCGAGGTGACCAGTTCCTTGTAGTGAACAAGAATAGATAATACAAGTATAAGTAAAATGTGTGTGCATCTGTGTTCGTGTGTGTGTGTGTGCGTGCACGTCTGTGCGCGTCTATGTGTGTGTGTGTGTGTGTGTGTTTCACATCCGCCTGTACGTGTGTTTGCAACAGGCAAGTACTCGCTGCTGTTCAGCAATGCAGGCGTTCGCGAGGCTGTGACCGTCGACATGGACACAAGTGACGCCGTCCACGTGGAGTTTGTACTGCGCATGGGTCAGTACAGCGGCTCCACCTGCGACCGACCGGACAACTCTGGAGAAACTGTCGTCGTGCAGTATTCCGACAATGGTGGTACGTCTCACAGCACTATCTTGCCTGTTAGGGATTTCCACGTGTCGAGGGGATTGTCCTCTCTAACTTGCAGATTTCGCTGGCTTAGCTGGAGGAATCCCCTATCTATGAAATCTAGGGATTTTCCCTTGTCCAGCTTACCACATAGCGGGGGATTTCCCCAAGCAGATTCTTCATATCAGACGGAAAACTGAATTGTAGAGGCTCCGTGGAAAGTTTTTTTGCTTTTGGTACTAGCAGCACGAGAAGCCCGTGCCTGATTTGGATGAGAGAGCTTGTACGCATGGGACAGTGCTCTGTTGACCGTTAACCGCTGGGCTTTAATCCATGAGAGAATAGGACCTAAGCACCCTCTGTTGTCAGTGCTGTGTGTTGTCGATGTCGATGTGTTCCCAGAGTGTACACAATGTGTTCACATTGGCGGACTGGAACTCTTTCACTTCCGCCTGAAATTTATTTAGTGTAAATAATATTGTAGTAACTAGTATACTCAATATAATGAGCTGGTTATGTCTCTACTGATGAGCTCCGACAGGGAGCGAAACAGCTGTCTAGAGGCGTGGAGCAATATTATCTCTCAACGGAAGTGTCCTTGCTGGTGTCTGTATGGTTCGGCTGAAGAGCGCGTGGTTGTGATGAGTTGGGAATGCAATGAATTGGTTATGTGAACATAGTAAAAAATATAAAAAATGCAAATATGCAATTTTTTGCAGCTATTCAGCAGTAGTATACCGACCTGAAATCGGGTTTTCCTTTGCTCGAGATATAGAATTTCGGCTATATTCGGCACCGACCCAAAACGCCGAAATTGAAACGCCGATGAAAATGTTCGCATCAGCTTCGGTGATGTACTAGCAGTATTAACCACCGTGCCGAAAAGAAATCGCTGCCAAAGTGTCGAAAATCGTGAAATTAAAGCCGAAATTTTGCAGCGCCAAAACTTTGTATGTTGGCAGTATGTGTCTTGTTTGTTTGTCTCCAATTGCTCGACCAGGTGCAGTGTGGGTGAACCTTTGGACCACCACATGCACAACGTGTTGGAACAAGGCGCCGACCGAGTCCATCGTCACAGTACTGCCCAGTGCTGCCAAGACCAAGGCTACGCGCTTCAGGTGGTGGCAGCCGCAGAACGGCGGCACGGCACAGGTTAGGCTTGTAGCCCGTTTCCTTGTTCTTCATTCCTTGCATCTTGTAGCCCGTTTCCTTTTTCTTCATTCCTTGCATCACTGCTATTTTGTCGACTGTTTTCAACCTGAAGAAGGGCCATGCTTGAAAAATTTGGTGAATTCCATTTTTTATTCATTTTGAAGTGACGTATGCAGCGAAGAGACCGCATTTTGAACGTTCAGTTGAGGTATCCTAATGTAATGTGGAGTCTGCGAGTTCTTAGAAAAGTTCATCACTGCTAGTCGCAAGAAACGTTATCAAGTGTGTGTTTTGTGCACTCGCACATGTTGTCCAGGCGTCAGGGGTCCAACCTACCTGCCCATCCGACCCGCCACACACAACAACGAAACTGGACTAAGAGTTCTACATAATTTCTTGACAAGACGGAGACAGACAGACAAGAAGACCGGACACGACGAGGTAAACTGAAAACTGAAGAAAAAGACTAACATTTATGGCAGCATATGAGCATGCGCGCAACAAAGCACAACGCATGACAATGACGTAACCGTTACTTGGATCATGTACAAACTATACATGCAACCAAACCAGTCCAACACGAGTCAAAGCAGAACGCAAAACAAACCCAAATAAACGAAAGGACCACAACAAAAACGAGCCATGAAAAGTCTTTCTACCGATACACACCAGTGTGTATAGAGCCAGCTCGCTGGTTATGGAGGTACGCTGTCTGTTCATTACGTTCAAGGACGCGTGCATCCATCCTTGGTTGCTCTGCTTCGACGCCGACCGCTGTGACGGTGCAGCATCTTTGCAGTATTGACCCCTGGCTCTGCGTGACGGCATCTGTGAGCCGAATGGCCGCAAAGCACTAGTGTCCTAAAAGAAAAAACAATCCGCTGCTTGTCTTGAACTCGCAATGTGGCTGTTGCTCTCGCTGCAGTTCGCTGCTGATGCCAGTAATAATTTGAGTGGAGGTCAGCTAAACATATGTCTTGGGTTTGGTCATTTTTTTAGATATGTCAGAATGAAGAATTGTTTCTGTCGAGCGCATTCACGCTGTGCTTCCTTCGTCAATCGGTGTCGATAGCCTCTTGTCAAACTTTGTTCTCACATTTGTTTGGCGGTCTAGTCCAAGCAGCTGGCGAGCAAAGTGACAATTTTCTGGTATAAACAAAATTGAAAAATGTCACGCTAAGACATGTTTTTGGCTGGCTGATGCCAGCTATATTGTCATCTTGACGTTGTGTGACATGGGTGCGACTAATGGGCTTTTTCGGCACTTATGCCAGTGGTTGTGAGACTCATCCCCTCGCCCCCCCCCCCCCCCCCCCACCGTTAGGCGCTGCATCTGCCGCTAGGTTTGCCGGGTGTCAGCGGCCGTCGTGAGTCCCCTTTGGGAACGGACACGATAATTTACTGACTTGTGCAGGTGACGTACAATGAAAGCTGTCTAAGACGACCGCTCAAGGGGCCTTAAAAACGTTGTCTCTGTTACCAGATGGTGTCCTTATCCAGGGTCATTAGACTGGAAATAGCATCCCTTGGTCCTGGTTTCCGCGGTCTTCCGGGACAGGTGGTCGCCTTATCCGAGTGGTTGCCTTGACAGGTTTTATTTGTATGCGTTTACAGTATCAGTAGGCGAGTTTACTTGCCAGAGTTATGCCGCGAGTCTTTAGAGAGCTTGTGCGCGTGCACGCGTGCAGATCAAAGAGTTGCATGCTCGCGTTGTAGTACGTTATTTTGTGTACGTCGTGTGTACGTGGTGTTGGTGCATGTGCGTGTTGCTGTGGTGTGAAAAGCTGTCTTCGTCCTGAGTTCGTCATGTCTAGTTAGTTGTTTTTCAGTAGTCGTCTTGTAACAAACAGTCTTTCCAATGTCGTCACAACACTCGTTGTGTTTTGCAATCTTGTCTCACTGCGGTTAGGACGAGTGGCGTGTGGGTAACATCTTCATCGGCGGCAAGTCCAGCAACGAGGTGTTGCTTTACGACACGTTTGATCCTAGTGTATCGGACGGCAACTGGCTCTTCCATCCCAACGGCATTCTGAAGACAGGCGAGTGCTACCGCAATACCTCGCAGAAGAACTCGCTGGTCTTCTCGGAGAGCAACGGTGCGTCTCAAGAACCTTGCCAACGACATGTGTGTGTGTGTGTGTGTGTGTGTGTGTGTGTGTTTGTGTGTGTGTGTGTGTGTGTGTGTGTGTGTGTGTGTGTGTGTGTGTGTGTGTGTGTGTGTGCGCACATGCCTGGGTGCAGGGTCGTGTATGCATGTGATTCTGTGCTTGGGGGAGGGGAAGGGGGTGCATATGTGTGTGGTGTAGTTGGGGGGGGGGGGGGGGGTAGAGGCGACGGTTTCAAATAGGACATAGGTTGCAAATCGGAACGGACTCAATATTCACTTTCTCTCTTGGTATTTAGATAAGAAAACATATGTCACAGTGAGACTACGATGTGTTATAGTCCGAGCCAAAATTTCATGGCTCTGCGATGACCAGAAGCGCCATACCAAGCAGGTGAGTTTTTGACGTGTTGCTTCGCACTGCGACTTGAGTTTTACGACTTTCGAAAAATCAACTTCTTGTCGCAGGTAAACAGCGGCTCGCCTCTCGCCAATAAAGCACCGCATACCAATCAAAACTAATGGAAGCACACACAAGGCTTATTGTTACTCTGTACTGGCCGTCGTGGAGCGATAGCAATTACCTAATTTCAGACCCAGAGTGAATTTGACGTGCACTCTAAAACGTGTCCGGTTTGGAGCCACCTCTGATTTGAAGCGAAAAATTGGACAACTTGGAGGCAATGGGTCAACACAAAGCCGGAAGAAAGGAGTGGCTCAGTTTGATTGACTCTGGCCTCAGAGCAAACTTCAACATGCCAGTTTCCTTCCACAAACATATTTCGAGTGAACAATCAACGCTGATGATCGGTTTGGGTCTATACAAATTTTGCTGTCAAGCCGTTCCGGTATCGAACCGTCGCCTCTACCAACACACACACACGCACATGCATGGGTGCATGAGGAGGGGGGGGGGGGGTACATATCAGGGGCGTAGCACCCAGTCCGACCTTTTTTTAACACAATGCCAAAAGTGCCCAGAAGGCAGGATGTAGCACCCTAATTTTAAAAAAAACCCTTGTCTTTGCATGCGTGTGTGTGCATGTGCATGCGTATCCGTGTGTCCATGTGACATTACAGGTGCGCGCCTGCTGTACACTCGCGACCTGAACGTAACCAAGGACACGTTCATCCAGTTTGACTTCATGACCAGCTGCCTGGGCCCGTTCGTTTCTCACTCGTTCGACATTCGCCTGCAGTACAGCACCAATCATGGACAGACGTGGATCGACGTTGGACCGGCGTGTACCTCTTCCTCCACTACATCCTGTGTCACGGGACCTGTTCAGACGTCCTACCTTCTGGCGGGAGAGTTTGACATCTGGAGATCCGTCACCACCAACCTGCCCTCAGCAGCGGTCACGAAGTAAGCTGCAGCCATTTTTACCACAGTATCCAGGGCCAGGGCCACAGTACCCAGGGCCAGGGCCACAGTACCCAGGGCCAGGGCCACAGTACCCAGGGCCAGGGCCACAGTACCCAGGGACAGGGCCACAGTACCCAGGGCCAGGGCCACAGTACCCAGGGCCAGGGGCGTCCAAAGGTATTCTAGTGTGGTATGGTCGGCGCCACTGGTACGGCCTGTACGGCCATGGCCGTACCAACTTCCCAAAAAGTCGGCCCACGTGGAACGTCCAAAACCGGGGAGAAGAGTTTCGATGTATGATTTTGTACAGGGAGTCGCCCAGAGTGCAGGATTCGCCGTCTAAATTCCAAAAACTGTAAATAGAATGATAGGTGTGCTCATGTCACAGGACAACAAAGCAGCAGCAATAGTAGCAATGAATACATACATCTACCCTATGTACCACCGTTGATTTGACCATCGTAGTGTAAGCCGCAGCACCGACTTCTTTTGGGTGAATTACTGGTGTTTTAAGTGCGGCTTACACACACACCCCGGAAAGTATGCTAAACCCACCCTGTACTGCCCATCACCCTACAGCAGAACGTGCGACGAAAGCTGAAGGTGGTCAGGCCAGTGAACATGCCACGTCGAGGCATGTTATCAACAAATTAACGCATTCAGTATCCTTTCCTTCCTCCTTGGTATCAAAACCCAGTTCTGGCTGATTGAGACTGAAAAAGTTGCTGGGCCAAAGGTTTGACCAACCCAGACCCTGCTGTCCCAACCCGTCATCATTAAAATCAATGAACCAATAGCGGTCGATGAAGTATCAAAATTATTTTTCGAAATGTGATCACATTACATCACAGGTTGACATGCTTTGTGTGTGATTACATCATCGGTTGGCATGCACCGTATGTGATTACATCATCAGTTAACATGGTTTGTATGTAATTACATCATCAGTTGACATTCACCGTATGGAGTTGCAAAGCCGCGGTATAGCGATGCCCTAGAGCTAGTTTGTCACTTATTTCCTATTTTTCCACTCAATACTTTACGACCGTAAGCGCATCCGCTACAGCACATACTAAGCGTCCGCAAGCGAGTCCGCTGACATACATGTAATGTGATCATCGTGACATCATTCGCACGACCTCTGCATGACATCACACTGTCTCATGGCACACTGTACCCATCTCAGCCCCCCCCCCCCCCCCTCTGCACACAAGATCTGTATACAGGATTTATGTGCATGCACTATGGACAGAAATTGGCATTGAGCCACACTGTGCATGATCCATGCACAGTACGTACACAGTGCATACACAGTGCATGCACAGTACATGCACAGTACATGCACTGTGCATGTACTGTGCATGTACTGTGCATGTACTGTGCAAGTACTGTGCATGTACTGTGCATGCACAGTACATGCACAGTACATGCACTGTGCATGCACAGTACATGCACAGTACATGCACTGTGCATGCACAGTACATGCATTACAGTACTGCTCAATGAAATTCAGTCGCGTCACTCAAGTTATTTGACATTATCTTTCTTTACGGAGTTGTGGTCGCTGTTCATTTTGCTACTCTTTCTTTTCCCTCCCCTTACTTTTATTTATCGCCGTGGTTGGCAATCACCCACTCTCTTAACATTGGCCGGTGTTTCCACCGAGTCTTGAGATGTTGTAATAAATATAAATAAAGTGCGCGGCGCCGGGCGTTGCGCAGCCCTACAGCTGCGAACACTGGGCTGCGAAATGGTGCGAGGCGCAAGCTTGGGCGACGCGACTGGATTTCATTGAGCAGGACTGCACATGCAAAGTACATGCATAGTACATGCACTGTGCATGCATAGTACATGCTCACTTGTGGGCATTGTGCTGCCCTATTGTGACCAAGAGCTGTGAAACGACCATACGCTAGGGCCGTCGAACAGGCCAAAGTCCATGCGACATGCCTGAGGAGCATGCTCGCCACTCGTGACTTCCCAGTGAAATAAGCCCCATTGTGCATTGCCCAATATGGAATGCATGAGCAATGCATGAGAGTACGCTGGGATCGGCAATGCACTGCTCAACGCCCGGCACACGACCATGCCCAGGCGGCTGTGTGGGGTGTTTAGGGTACAAACGTTACGTCATTGCGCGACGGGCTTACTGAAAGCTGTTCTGTGTGCTCTGTGTGCAGGTCAACCCGTTTCCGCTGGTATCAAGCCCTGACCACCGGCAACACATGGGCTATTGACAATGTGTTTGTTGGCTCGGGCTGTGCCAACTACTGCTCCGGCCATGGCAAGTGTCAGCCGAGTTTGAGCAGCTCATCCACGGGCACTACCTATTGTGCATGCGACGACGGTGAGTAACTCAGCTGCTTCCGGTACGCCTTTGCAAGCTCTATAAGTTATAATTATTACTGTAAGACCAGTGATGTTAACGAGCATTTAATTCTGACGAGCTAACGAATTTGAAAGAATCGTTTAAAACATTTGAAGTTGTTATGTGCAAAACAATATGTACATGAACAGTCATTTGCCGTTTTTGAGAAAGAATTCGTTAGAATTTCACCTCGCTAACGAACAAAAATCCGGAGATCGTTAACTTTAATTGATGCAACATATCTGGTGTTACAATATCCCATTTTTGTTTTGCACTATGGCTGTTCATAAATAATCATGAGATCAAGCCCAAAACATTTCTTACAGTTTACTTTCGTAGAGTTTGCGACTTTGTGTTCCTCAACACAACTTGCAGCTTTCTTCTAAAACTATCCTCAACCTTGGTTCTGTCCTAGATCGTATATACATGCACTCA